TTTAAAGATTATTTCATGTAAATGTTGGCCGCGGCTCCGCTTTAGATGGCTCATGCGCAAGGTCCAATTTTGGCACACTCTCTCCAACATATCGGCCGGTATCTCACGAATAAATACTTCAATATTGGCTTCCAGTGCATCAATCGTTGCTGGTTTATCCCTGTAGACATTAGCCTTAACACGGCCCCACAAGAAATAGTCCAACGGCGTTAAATCACACGATCTAGGCGGCCAATTGACGGGCCCCAAACGTGAGATAAACTGTTCACCGAACTCGCCTCTCAATAGGGCCATTGTTTCGTGTGCGGTGTGGCATGTGGCACCGTCTCATTGAAACCACATGTCAGCCAAGTCCAGCTCTTCCATTTTGGGCAAAAGAAAGTTTACTATCATCGCACGGTAGCGCTCGCCATTCACAGTTACGTTCCGGCCACTGTCGTATTTGAAGAAGTACGGCCCGATGATGCCACCGGCCCATAATCCACACCAAACAGTGATTTTTTCGGGATGCATTGGTAGCTCTTACAATGCTTCTGGCTGGTCTTCACTCCAGATGCGGCAATTTTGCTTGTTAACGTACCCATTCAACCAGAAATGAGCTTCATCGCTGAACACAATTTTTCGATTAAAATGTGGATCTTCCTCCAACTTTGCCAGCGATCATTCACCAAATTGGAAACGTTGTGGGACGTCGTGTGGCTTCAATTCTTGCACCAGCTGTATCTTATAAGGTTTTACACCCAAATCCTGTCGCAAAATTTTCCACGTAGTGGAGTAACAGAGCCCCAGTTGCTGCGAACGGCGGCGAATCGACATTTCACGGTAATCACTAACACTGGCGGATACAGCCGCAATATTTTCTTCAGTCCTCACTCTACGTCCGCGTGTTGGTGGTTTAATGTCCAATAATGTAAACTGGGTTCGAAATTTAGTTACAAGCTGCCGAATAGCTCCCTCAGTAGGCCGACCAAATTGCCCATAAATTGGAAGCAGTGCTCGATGCACTCTCTTAACCGAGCATGAATTTTGATAGTAAAATTCAATAATTTGCAAGCGTTGTTCGTTCGTAATTCGATTCATGGTTAAATTATAGACCAAACTGAACAAGTTTGACAATGACGCAAGACACGATTCACGCGTCATCTGTCAAAAACAGTGTCGCCAAAAAGATACTAGCAAAAAAATCACCCAATATAAGTCCATTTTGAGTCAAAGGAAGCATGCCGACAAAGTTTTAAGAGCTAGCAAATTGCAAAGTTCCCCCACGTCTACTAACATTTCACTCATATGTCTAAAGTGACATTAGTAAAACATAATTCCAAAAAATTCACTCTATCCAAAGCCCAGAATCCGTAGAGATATCTGTTTTGAGTATGCACCTGCTCTCGTAGGTATGAGTCTCGCGAGTACCTGGCACAAATGTCAATGCTGCTGATCTTTTGACTAGTATTTTATCCTCTGTCACTGAGGCTTACTGTTATATGTATTGACAACCATATTATGTTCGGTTCAACCTTTGGGTATCTTTTCATTTCATCTGCAATCATTTTTAGTTTGTTTCTGAGGTATACTTATTTTCCTTTTTTATTTCTTCATTCGGTTGTTTACCTTTGCTTCAGCTATATACATATTTTTTCTTTATTGTTCAAGTTGTTCTGTAAGCTGGGCAGTAAATGCTTTGTTTATAACGCTTTTCTCATCTCTCTCTCTTTTTCTTCCAAGCTTTGTCTGCCATTAAGGTTACCAAACAAGAGCAAAGTTTCTATGGCCATTCTTCAACAACGTTTGATAAATGTACATTACGTAGTGTAAAGGCTATCATGCTATTATAGACTAATTGGATATGTATTTGTGAAACTAAGTCAGCGTCCTAACAACTAATGTAGAATTTGACAACAAGCGTTTATCTATAATGCCCTAGATCAAATTATTATTAGAATGACCTCTAAACCTTAGCATTTATAACCACCGTTACACCAAAAGCCTCACAAAAATGTTATAAATGGTTGAAAATTATAGGACTCCTATTCTTGAAGGACGCTATTAATTACGTATAATATATGTAAAGCAACACGCAGCAATATTCATCACGAAAGGTAGTTCCTACTTGTTAAGAATTCAAATTTAAACAAAAAAAGGCAGGGCCTTGACCAGCGATGGGATATCTCGTTCATCCACGTGTTCGAAAAAGAAGAATCTAACATTTTTCCGAAAGACACTAATCGAGCGTTACCTGAAGCAAGATTGGGTGGAAAAGGTCAAGAGGTATTTTTTAAATGCAGGTTCACTGGCCTGGTGAGGTTAAATGCAAATTCAAATGTCTCGGCGTTTTCATCCTTTATGTTGTTCGACCTTCGGTAAAGTCTCCGTAAAGTAAACATGCAAATATCGTGGTTGATTGTGGGACTTTCTAGGACTGTTGATATTTTACATAGCTCCCATGTGCGTTGTAGCGAAAAATTTTATACAGGGAAAACCAAATTTGTCGAACGGCCTTATGCCGGTATTTATAGTCGAAACTCATATAGACCCTTTAGATCCCCTTAGCCAAGGAAGCCTCAAGGGTCCCTCAACATTCGTTTTTATAAACGTAACTCCAGCTCCCCTCGGATGAGTAGGCCTTTACATTTGGCAACATCGAAACGTGACGAAACATAACCCATAAACTTGCCAAATACAAATAAACAAACATCCATAAAACAATAAACTATACTACAACTATTTAAAACTGTAATGACTCATACGCGTGATCAACACGTGATCAGAGCTCGATCCCAGCTTCCTTCCAGTACAGCCGTATAGCGTACGACATATGTCGTTTCTGTGGCTTTGCGGTGGTCAACAGCACAGACAGAGATGGAAATAATGGCTGATTGTTCTCCGCCGGTAGAACCATTGAAATCAAAGACGTGCCTTGACCGGCAGACTCATAGGCGTCGGCAACGCATTGGAACGTGTTTCGTTGAGCGATCGCATATTGTGTTTTTATAAGAATTGTTGTGTGATTGTTATTGTTGTGGTTTCTGTGGTTACTGTTTTGGTTATACTTAACCATGGAGACTACAAATGGCACGAGTGGAAGTACTGAAAGCCAGGGAACAGACGGCTTCGTAAAGCACTGAAGAGGGACGCGAAAGAAATCGTGCTCAACGTGTTCAATTATCTGAACAGAACTATGTCGCAGGGAGATGCACTCGCGCGTTGTGAAAGTATGACAGGCGTTCCAGAGTGGACCATTCGCAGGGTGGTGCATGAAAAGAAGAAAACTGGAGCTACTACTGATCCAAAGTTTAATTTGAAGGACGAAAGGCCGTTAAATTGGATGACGATAGCAAAATGGCGTTAAGGCGAACCGTACATTCATTCTTCGTTAGGAATGAGATACCAACCCTCAAGGCTGTACATGCAGCGATCAACGAAAATGAAATTATACCTCAAATCAGCGTCGAGGTAATGAGGAAATCCCTGCACGAAATTAATTTTCGTTACGAAACGCGTAATCGGAAGTCAGTATTGATAGAGAGACCTGAAATAGTCGCCTGGCGTCGAAAATACCTACGCGAAATGATTTAATATAGGCGACAAAGCAGAAAAATCTATTATTTGGACGAGACATGGGTAAATGCAGGTCACTCAGTTAAAAAAACCTGGATAGACAAAAACGTAGTGAGTAACCGACAAGCAAGCATTGAAGGTTTGTCAACAGGTCTTCGTGGACCGTCAGGGAAAGGTCAAAGATTGATCGTAACTCATATTGGTAGCGATAGTGGCTTTTTAGAAGAGTGTGACTTGATTTTCGTCTCTAAGAAAGGAGGTGATTACCATGACGAAATGAATGCCAGCTGCATCGAGAGCTGGTTTCAAGGGGTGCTTCAGCGAGTTTTGCCCAACTCTGTGATCGTCATGGATAATGCTTCCTACCATAGTCGTCGAGCCGAACGTGTATCGACTATGGGATCTCGAAAAAGTGACATGCAGCAATGGTTGCGCGAAAAAGGAATCCCGTTTGACGATTCATGTGTGAAATCGGAATTGGATGAAAAAATTAAACAGCACAAACCTGCGAACATTAGTTACGTGACTGATGAGATGGCCCGTCAATGTGGTGTCACTATGCTGCGGTTACCGCCCTACCACTGTGAACTGAACCCAATAGAGCTCATCTGGGCTCAAGTGAAGGGTTATATTGCGCGCCATAACACAACCTTCAAATTACCCGACGTTAAGGTTTTACTTGAGACTTCCATAAAGCTAGTAACGCCCGAAGCTTGGCAGAATGCTATCAGTCATGTTGTGAAGGAAGAAACAAAAATGTGGCAGCTTGACCACCACATCGACACCATCATAGAGCCAGTCATAGTCAATTTCAACGAGGAAAGCGATAGCGACAGTTTATTACTGTCAGATGTAAGTGGAAGCGACGATGAATAAAGGTAATTCCCAAATTTTTTACTTACAGTATGTTTCAAACCACTCTTTATTAAGCATGCGACAAATCTAGTTCATCGATGTTAAACATTCATACCCCGCCTATGAACAGCCGACTACTGGTAGTTAAGTGATGCTCACGTGAACATCGATGAGTCGTTACAGTTTTAGATAGTTATAGTATAGTAGAAAATTCCAAAAGTTTTAGCCCTTTGCCAGATATTTATCTTTGGCATTCATATTCTAATTCATACTCCCACAGTGATCCAGATTTTCAGAGTATTTTCAAAATTCCTGATAGGAACTTCCTGTTGCCGCTATTACTTTATTTATTAATAAAATGAATAATACAAACAAGAGTAAGTACAAAAATGTATATTTAATTTAAAGTAATTACTGTATAATCTATTCCATAGATTCATAGCGAAAAGTTTTTTCCGAAAGGGACAAATTGTTGCTTATATAATTAGTTGATAGTTATAAGCACGTACTAGAAAATAAGAAAACAGATGCCACCAATGTCGAAAAGAAAAACGGGGCCTGGAAGGAAATTACAGATCTATATAATGCAAATGATGTTTAGCTGATGATAAGCAATTGAGAAAATCGTGGGAGAATTTGAAACAAAGGTATATAGGAAATACATAATTTGTCTTTTTCTAATTTATTGCCAAATGTGTTTTTGTTTCAGAACTAGGAAAAGTCATTCAGAAATGAGAAAAAGTTTAATTCAAACTGGAGGTGGACCACCAGCGAAAAGTGAAGATAATCCAATAAATGAACGAGTTCGGTCAGTTGTCCCTACAATTAGTTATGTATACTAAGTGACATATAAATCCGAACACCCAGTTTAAATGGTTTTATTTTAATAAAAGTTGGTGAATGTATTTATACTGTAAATAACAAGTGAACAAATTTTCAGCCTTATCAGTTGGACATTCCGGTTTTTATACTGCCTTTTTTTAATTCACTAACGCTCTAAAAATGAATATTTCAGCCGCAGTAAAGAATCAACGTTGGCGGATTTTGGTTCTTGACATCCTTTACGATCGGTTACGATGCCTAGAGTACGGAGACCTGTACGATTTCGTCAACTTAGTGAGTTTGATAGGAGCCGTTTAGTGGGACTTCGGGAAGCTGGACTTTCTTTTCGGGCAATTGCAGTTAGAGTGCAAAGAAGTGTAGAGACACTGTGGTTAGGTGTTGTCAGGCATGGCTTCGAGAAGGCCGTACGCAAAGAGCAAGGGGCACTGGACGCCGCCGTAGAACAACAGACCGTGAAGATCGCCGCCTAAGATTATTGGCCTTAAGGGACCGTTTCTCCACTACCAGGTCCATTGCAAATGAATGATTTGCAGAACACGGAAGACCTATTGGCATGCGAAGTGTTTACCGACGAATGAGAAGTTTTGGCTTGTTTTCATACCGGCCACACTGGGTCCTCCCTTTAACTCGAGAACACCGACGTAATCGCCTTGAGTGGTGCAGACAACGGTCACTCTGGGATCAGGAATGGAACAGTACTGTCTTTAGTGACGAGTCTCGATTTTGTTTAGGCATGCACGATGGTCGTGCCAAGGTTAGAAGGCGACGTGGTGAAAGGAGGAATCCACAGTTTTTTGTTGAAAGACATGTTCATCACACTGTTGGAGTTATGGTTTGGGGTGCTATAGCTTATGGTTCCAGGTCACCTTTAATCTTTATCAGAGGTAACATGAACGCGCAGTGTGATATCCACGAAGTTCTAGAACCCCATCTTTTACCCTATCTTGACATCCTGGCAGATCCAACTTTCCAACAAGATAATGCCCGACCACATGTTGCAAGAGTCACAATAGACTTCCTTCAACATAATGATGTCACAGTGTTACCATGGCCACCAAGATCTCCCGACTTATCCCCAATTGAGCACGTGTGGGATATGATGGGTAGGAGATTGCTCAATTTGCAACGTCCTCCTCAGACTCTAGAAGCACTTCGACAGGAGTTGGTGGTTGCCTGGAATGAGATACCACAGGAGGACATTGACCACCTGATCAGAAGCATGCCTAGGCGCGTTGGAGAATGCGTAGGACATCAGGGTGCATCCACACACTATTAAAGGTCAAAGGGCTTTAAAGCAGTGCAATCATTTTGAAATTTTTATCATTTACCTATTATGCTTCATTAAGTACTTATACAAAATTTTATTAAAATAAAACCATTCAAACTGGGTGTTCGGATTTATATGTCACTTAGTATATTTTACAATACTGTTCGATTATCTGGTACCAGGCCTATAACATACACTGTAAAAACATCGAGAGAATCCAACGTCGTTTTGTGAAATACTTATGGTTGAAAGATGATAGAGCGTACCCTGAAAGGGGTATACGCAATGACATTCTCTTAAGTAGATATAATTTACCTAATTTAGTCAAACTTATGAATATATTAGCTGCTAAATTTTTATGTAATTTGTTTAATGGAAAAATTTTTCTTCTAGACAGGATATCTCTACGCGTTCCCGATTTGCATACTCGTTATGGTGGTAACACTTCATTTTATTTACCTGTTCCGCGGACAAATTTATTGTTATTTTCGCCTCTTTATGTTATGTCTAATGTCAGTGATAGAGTAAGTGAACTTGAAATTTTTAGTTCCACCAAAATCGATCTCAAGAGGTGGTTTTTAACAATTGGATTATATTTATGTATTTTTTATCATGTACTGTGTAGAGCTTTGTATCATTTTTTATTTTTCCCTGCCTGTTAATTGGATCACTCTGTTCAGGCAGTGTATGGATTATTATAAATAAATAAAATAAACAAATAAAAATAAACTGTGGACAATCACTTGTCCCTTTTAATGGTGAAAAGCTCCATATGTTGCATGAAGGTCGAGGCTGCATTCCACTCTCTAGGTTTTTTCTCCATATATTGAAGCCCACATTTAGAGCCATGGAACTTTATAGTGAGGTTGGATACTCAGTGGAGTGGACGGACATTCTGACCTTCATTAGAAGAGCAGGAAGGTTCGGTAGATAAAAGGAAAGCATGTAAAATAGAGTGCGGGTGCACTCGGGGTTGTCAAATGACATTTTCTTCCACCCCCCAGAAAAATGTACCAATGTCTCACCGAGTTTCTCGCCAAACCTTCTCACCAACCTTGTATAATATCCAACATACTCATTGATGTTTAGATATTATCTCAAACCGGAAAATGAAAAATCCATGCACTATGTATCACGATTCACTAGAAAGCAATCACATAATTAATAAGGCATCAATTATGGCTCAAAAATGAAAACTTCTGTATCGGAATAGCCTTGAAACTAAATTATCGTGTCATTATTGTTATTTATACTTGGCGTTAAATATAGGTTGGGAAGACCGCACTAAACGCAGGAATCCCCAGACCGAACGGCTTTGTTCGTTAAGCTTATGAAGAGCCAACTATCCGCTTTAATATAATGAGAATACATTAACTATTTATGTAATATGCGGTATTAATATTCACTTCTGTATGAATGTTTTTGTAGTATTGTAAATTGTAGCTCACAAATAATTAAAATCAAAGTGATGATTTGAAGAACACGCGAATCAATGCGAGTCTATAAATATTCCAAGATATTGTAAAGTATCAACTCTATGGATTTTTGTTTTTTGGCCATGATAATTAATGGTAAACATTGATAGGATGTAAATGCAATTAATTATGGTTTTTTTTTTTGAACTTAACTTATAATTTTGCTATCAAACCAATCAATGTTCCTCAAAAAGGTTAAGATATGCTATGTATACGTTATATTCACCCCTTGGAGGGTTCTCTAATTGAACCTTCAATTTTTTTACGTTATGTTATTTACGATTTACGCCCGTTAATTACACGTTAATATTCAGTCTTATTACTAAGAAATGCGATACAACATGCTAAACCATAAAACGTGTTGGTTCGAATTCGAAAAGTAAGTCTATAATGATTGCCTGGAAAGCAAAATTTTCCCATTGATGATATTTTCGTAGCGGTACAGAGAACTTATGATAATATATGTACGTCACAATCCATTGATAACAAAAATAACACATTTCTCAGAAACATTTATAATTTTATATACAGCGAACGATTATCTGGCTTGGACATAGCTTCTGGGTTGCCATATTTCTCTAGCAACCTTCACGGCAGCAGCTGTTTCACATGGAAGAGCTATTTTTAGGTAATTTTTTCATTTTCACTGAGCTGGACGCAGTCCAATCGGTGAATGTCGAAGAGAAATGTCATTGACACACAAACTGAGTGACTTCCAACTTCACAAACTGCCTGGCCCACGTGTGTTTTGTTTGAGAGGTTGTGAACTGCCGTTTCCTTTCTTTTCGAAAATAGAACGTATGCGTAGATGTGATTCAGTTTTCTGACCAAAATAGCACTATACACGTATGAAGATGGTCGGGGTTAGTCATGCAACCTCTATAATTTATAAGGATCTAGCCTACACAGTCCACGGAATTTGAAACAAAGATTTTAACATATAGGGTGGATTTCACCAAGGTTGTCAAATTAACAGTCCGTTATTCTCCACCTATAGGGTAACACTTCATCAAATACAACGAATGAGCTTCAACATCCAATCAACAAACTTCGGCAACCAATAGCTACGAAATGTTGAAAACAAAATATTGTCAAGGTATGAGATGACAGATTGTCCTTGAAACATCAACAGCTTATTGAATATTTAGAAATTACGCATAATTCGGTCAACATTTAAAGAAATGTTTGATTTTTGAATAAAATTCATGTTGTAATTACTATTGTTGATTTTTTATTCATGTTTATATTATTTTCTTCAATTGATGTGCGATTTTACTGATTTAACATCACCTCCCGTGTTTTCTTTCCCATAAACCTTTTGCAGATAACCATTAAACACCTACTTGATGACAGACTCTACCAAAAATTTCATAGATATTGCTCGTTTCCAAACATTCATTCATTTACTTGCCGTTCATCAGAACCATTATGGCACCTTAGATTGACATTCCCACAAAACCATTCAGGTTTTTAGATATCCATACATCCATAGTCAATTATTTTTTGGTTGTTCAGGAACTGAACAAACATCCACACTATATTTACAGCGATTAAGAAATACCCAAATATATGTCGTAAAGCTACCGGCAAACTTAAAACCTGCAAAAAAATAGAATTAGCAATAACTTTCTTGTTTCACTGAGTACACATTCTAGGTTATATTTATATTAAACTTTATTTGAATAACAGCTGATTATTAGATTTCAAAACTCCCCAACGAGTGACACATGTGTGAGATCCGTCAACCCTCGGTCCCAGTGGAGTAAGTTCCGCCAATTGTTGAAATATACTCTACGATGCTTTATAAGACTATACGTGGAATTTTTCTCAAAATCGTTACACAACATTTGAAAAAATGCGAATGAAAATTTAAAATTATTTCCATGACGCCGCAAAATAGCTCCGTCGGTACCTCGGGTTATACATCTTGACAGTAGACGATGCTATATTTAGAAGTATCGATACATCACGAGTATCGTCATCTTTCGCTCCGGACTGTGTCAGAAAGAGTGACCAACGTCAGATTACTTTTCTTAACTATAATTTTATTCCAATATTTTAGAGTATCGATACTTCCTAAAACGATAAGAATCGATAAATAACTATCCCTTTCGTGGATCTAAACATCGCTAATCTTGACAGCTTGTCGTTCTTGTCAACTGGGCTGCAGGTTGTGGTGTTTCCTCTACTATCTAACATTTTGCTGAAATCTTATGACAAATAAAAGCTTCAAATGAAATATGAGCGGATATGCATAGAATTTAGAATATAAATTCATATTGCAAATTTCAGATTGTCTATGCATGGACTTGAACCGGATTTTTCGGTATTTTAATCGAAAAGAGAATATTTACCGATAACATCATTCTCCACGATTTTTCAAAATAATTTAAGTATTTCTATACTATGCCCTCAAAAACATGTTGTGTGCGCGTCTAATACAATAACAGACGTTTTTCAT